AAGTAATTCTTATTTTCAAATATTATTATACCAAATTTTATTTATATATTTTAACAATTTAAAAAAGTAGATCAGAGTTAAAAAAATGCAAAAACGCAGGCAAATTTGCCTGTGTTGGCCTACAATCTAAGGGATAATATTAGGTATTATCAATGAATAAAAAAAATTAATAATGCAATAAAAAAAAAATTATATAATATGTAAAAATTGTCATGCAAAAAAAAAAAAAATAATAAAAAAAATAAATAAATACACAGTACAAAAAAATTATAATACAAAAAAAGAAGAAATAATTTTACATTGTATATAATCCTAAATATGTATAGATATTACTATATCAAAAGAAAGGAATAATAAAAAAAGTTTGTGGATGGTTGTTTTTAAAAAGGCTTTGCTTCAAAGTTATCAATGACCAAAAACTTGTTTCTTCTCAATACTTTATATCACCAACTCATTTCATATTTCTTAACAATTCGTCTTGATGTCTCTTAATAACACACTTCAAAAAATTATTGAACAATCAAATAACTGTTAAAGAGAAAGAGATAAGAACTAATGTATTATGTGCAAATCAATATATATATTAATGGTTAATCATGTGACACATGTCTGACCATTGATGTGCATCATTGATTAATAGATCACATGATTGCACACAGCTTTAAACGATCTTTATATTAAGTTACAAATACTGTCTTTTTATAATCTGTTAAATGCATAACAACTTGCTAATATTTATTTGCAAGATCAAATATAGAAAACTATTTGAATCTTTTTGAAATATTAAATATTTTATCAATGCAAAATAAGAAATAGGCATTTTTTTTAATAATGCTATTAAGTTTATAATAATTAATATAAAATTATAATTTGCTATTTTTCTTTTAAACTAATACAACTAGTAAGGTTTAGAAACTAGAAAAAGGTCATATAAGTTCACTATCAAGTATTTGTTGAATTTCTTTTTTAATAAATGTCTGTTCTGTCAAAGAAGAAAATAAAATCAACATCGAATAGAAGGTCCTTTTTTAATATAGATTTGATAAGTTATAAGGTACAAACTTAAAACCATGTTCTTATGAGAACTCTGAGAACACTAATTTCGAACACTGCTTGGAACACTATCACTATGCCCACAACCATAACTGATATAAGGTTTTTGAGGTATTAGTTTGGCCGATGTTTGGAATTTGAGAGCAGTATAAATAATAGTTGCGCGAAGGCATAGTGAATATATAAAATTAATTCCATTTAGAAGATCATTGCGCAAAACGTTTTACTTAAACTCCACGAATAACAATAAAAAACAATAATGTAAATCGATCACGTGAATATATGGGATGCACTGTGCACAATTTATAAAAGCCTATCAGTGGTAAGCTTCGGAAATTTCAAGTACAATCCATTTATCATTCTCAATCAGCTTCAAAACACCACGATCCTCCCAGAAGCACATTTTTCCTTTTAATTTGGAAGGATCTATATTCATTTTTTCAGCTAAAGAACGAAGGTCCCATGTATCTAGAAAACAAAATTGTTTATAAATATAAATTAAAACATTAAACTCGTTGACGTAAATAATTAACATCAACCTTGTTCTTGAAAGTGGTAAATGATTGTCGCATATATCGGAGCAACTTCAAATTCTAGCACACGATCCTGTAATTCTAATTCCACGTGAACCTTTCCGAGTGATGATAACCATTTTAATTCTCTCCTAGGTTTCAAAATTTGAAAAGCATTTTCGTATTTCCGCATGTTTCTTACGTATGATGAAGATCGTTTGTCAGCTTGGTATCAACAGTTAAGCAAGCAATGCATAATCAATTCATACTCTGATATGGGTTTAGGCACATTGAATTCTTCATTTTTTAGAGTAGGCCAAAATAATTTAGAGATAATGGAACCATGTAACACAGCCTAAAGCGTGTTTCAAAGAATTTCTTTAGTACCTCATAATGTAATAACTGTAATATAGTAAAGATACATACTTCTTTAACATTTTCCAATCCGACTGCCTTGGATATAGATACTTCATTATATATATTGGTGTCAATCCTTTTAGAATCAGCGACATCTTTAATCATAACCTCTGTGGGCGCCATTTTTGCCTCCCCAAAACGTAACTTAAATAATTCGAGCTTAGTTTGCTGTAGTAATTTAGAATCATTAGATATATGTAACTTGTAATGATAACATGCTTACAAGAAATACCTCTCTTCCTGTATCATAATCCAATTTAGATAATAAACAAGAAGCCATCTGATTTTGGATTTCTTCTGTAATCACATCCGTAGTGTCGAAGAGACTCACGAGTAAATTAGTGATATCAGCCGAACGATACATTGATGATTTGTAGTCTGAATTTTAAATTAATGTATAAGTTTAAATTCACTTGAATAATAATCAATTTGAAAATGAGCACGACCAGGGCCAGCGTCCATTGGATCAGGCACCCAATTATCATCAGAGACACCATAATCATCGAGATCTTCAATAGGATTTTCCGTATGTCCAAGCTCCTCAACCAATTCATTATTACTTTCATCGTCCATCCAACTGTTTACCAAAAATCGCGCGGCATCTTCACGTGTACTATACAATTAATTAATTTTAGTTTAGTAATTAAATTGTATGGCATTGTAATTATATAGCATACCGCAAGTAATTCCGAATCGGCCCGGTAATTTTTTCTAATAGCACACCAGAAGGATCCAATAATCTCAAACATTTAACAGTTGATATATAAGTAATGATTATGTCATTTGTGCCAGCACCAGGAATAAGTAATCTTTTCCTAAATCTATGCATAGGGTCCATAATCAATATAGATAATTGTCAAAATGATAAATTGCAAAGGCTTGCAGACTTACGCCGAATATAATGATTGAACAAGGCGATGTCTATAATCTGTATCCAACCGTCTCATACAAATCTAATATGTAAATATGCAAAGTTTTAGATAAAATACAAGAATGGTCTTATAAAATTTTTAATATTTGAACGCACAATTAAATCATTAATTGCGGATTTTGATTCAGGGAAGTCGACGATGACGTCGAATAATTCCGAAATCCTTTAGTATGTTCGTTAGAAATTGGCAATATATTAAATATTCGTTGTGAAAGAGAGATAACCAACTTAAAAAAGAGTATACCGTAAATCGCAAAACATCATGCAAAAATGGTAATTTAACCGTTTTGACCATGTAACTAATGCATCTTATAAATAAGGAACATATTAGGAAATATCCAGGTAAATAAATTATTATTTATAGTGTTTATTACCTTCGATCGAATCAGCTGAGGTTTGGGGATCTGACGATAGAACAATTCGTAACCAATGGTAAACAACCGAATACAACCATTTCGATGAAGAGCGAAGCATTGGCTTGTTGAATGTGCCTTTGCAGGTATTTAAAATCCTAAGTTCAATCTGTTCACATAAAGTTTCTTCCAATGTATCTTTAGTACGCTGTATTAAATCTAAAGTAACCATTTCATTATATAACTGTGAAAAAGCCGATATTTCTTTGTTTAAGTCTTCAACCAAGCCTGGATCTATATTGTTTTGCGATATATCTACTTTTTCAATTAAAACGTCCATGTCATCGAGATCCATCGCTACTGAATTGCTAGTTTCACTATTAAAAGAATCATTTTCTTGTCTGGAAAAAATGACACTTATATTGTCTAATGTTTTCCATGCAAAAAGATCGGATTCAAATTTTTCAATTGGATGCTTGGCCTTTTGCAAAACTGATTGTCCGTTTTCAAGTTGACATAATTCCATGATATTATTAAATTTTTGAAAATGGGCGCGAAACAATACTTTGGACATGTCTTTAAACAATGAAGGTACAGCAGAAAATGGTTTGGAGTCACCACTAAGCAATGAATAAAGATTCGTGTGATAATGAATCCGAAAATGATGTAAAAAATCGACACTTTTATGATTGAATTAAATTGATTCGTAAGCTAGTAATAGTTGTAAAGATTAACCAAATATTTAAATGATTTATTATGCAAACCTAGCATGAATAAGAAATAATGAATTTTCGCATTTCTTGAAATGCGAATAGATATCGTGAATAATTTCCTCGTAAGATTTACTAACCCAATTTTCTAATATTTCAGAATAAGGAGTTGTGATCTCTTCTTGTAATTTCTAATACAAGAAATGCATTGGTATTGATGATTAATCATTTGCATTTAAAGTATTTGTCATAACAAAAGGTAGTTACGTGCCACCCATGCTTCACGCCATTGTTTTAATTTCGTTTCAGAAGTTTCTGAAAAATGCCGACAAACTGCAGCTTTTTTTTATATTTTGGCCACTATGATTATTTATGGAAAGACGGTAAAAGAGTGTTCGATATAAATGCGTGGAAGACAAATACCAAGATACCATTCCAAGAGTCGTTTTGCCAATGGAGTATGTCGGAGAATTTCTAGAGAGTCATTAACCTCTGAAGGTGCTAAGAAACAGGTAATTTTTAGTTAATTATCGATTTATGAGTTAGCAAGTTAAACTTTCATTAAAAAAAATGTACCCTCTGTTTTATCTCCAATATTTGTCTTATTTGGATCAAGCCATGCTATAACTGTGAACCAAGCCTGGAACAATCGACAATAATTAGATTTTATTTCATACAAGTCAATTTATTTGTTCCGTCAAACCTTTGTCTCATTAATCATTTTATTCAAATTTTCGTTATCAGGCATGGGCATGTCCTTGTACAGGGGTATTGAGATGATCGTTTTTATTTTTATATGAAAATTCCGTATTTGTGAAACCATAGGTGCATCGCGATGAGTTTCGAGTTCTACTTTTTTTAGATGAAGATATTAAAAGTAGAACGTATTATCATTTGTATTTTATAGTTACAGACGAAATGAATATTCCTGAATTCGAAGAACCCAAAAACTAGATATAAAAATCCAACATGTGAAGAATGCACCGAAGCTAAGTTCGAAAATTAGCTAAAACTACCCCAGTATAACAGCAGGGACAGTTAAATGATTGGCTGCCCTGAGTAGTAATGCGGTAGAACCGTCCCAATGATAGTAACTTGCTGTAACTATAGTAAGTAATATAGCTTATAGCCGTGCTATCATTGGGACGATTCTACCGCATCACTAGGGTGCGGGCTATAGAAACAATGTTATGCTTAAACCGAAATTAGTATATAATATTAGTATGTATGTTAAACACACTTTTAGCACTCCAAGTTGGTAAAAATTTTACCAATCAACTAGTTGCCAACTATAGTTGCAACTAATCAACTTTTATATCATGTGACTAAATTTGTTAATTAGCCAATCAAATAAAAGAAATTAGCATGAGTTAGCCCGAACAGACAGAATGTCTCATAATTGAACTAATTAATGATTCAGTTTTTAAAATTTTTCAAATCAACTAGTTGGAAAGTTGTCAACTAGTTGATTTTTCAACTAACGATTTGGATCACTACACATGGGTTCCATTTGTACCTGCTGCCAGTGGCAAGTCTTCAAAGTCAGACGAATCGAGCAGCAGGCACATGAAAGATACAAATGAAACCCATGTGCTGAAAGTGAGTTTATCATACTAATATTATATACTAATTTCAGTTTAAGCATCAATTGTAACATTGTTTTTATAACCTTCAAAAATTCCAGGCTTTATCAGGCTTTTTTTCTTCACCCAACGCATCACATATAGGTAACTTTCTTGTGATTGGTTAATTTTATACAGTTGAATTTATACAGTTTAAAGTACTTTTACATCTTAACATAGTAAATTTTTTTTTAAAAAAATGTAACTATTTTTTATAATAATATAGAAGACACTTTATAAACAAAACTTTAAGTATCTTGAGTATTTTGAGGATTTACTTTGCCTAAGTATACTTTACTTAAAAACAATTTTTCAACTTAAAAAAATAGTAATAAGATAATAAACACATTATTTATTATGAAATCATGTGGTTTTGCACTTTTTTACTGTTGTACTTTTTTATTATTCAAAGAAGATATTAAAAATAATGTTTTATTAATTAAATTTTTAATATATAAGAGCACAAATAAGTGATGCTAATAGTAAATTTTAAAGTCAGAATATTTAAATAAAGACAAAAAATTGTTTGAAAGTTTTATTAATAATAAATGCAATTTTTAAATTTTATTAGTTAATTATCACATGTTTGAAGTTTTAATTAATTATAAATTATTATTCAATTTCATATAATTGATTATTTACAAAAAAGTTATCTTATAAATACTTTGAGTTAACAATTTTAATAAATTGGTTTTTATATTTAAATAAAAATTAAAAAAGTTTTAATTTTTTTTATTTTATTAATAGTTAATTTAAATAATTTTAAGTATTCAATTATTTGTTTATTAGTTGTTGTGATTTAGTTTATTCTTACAATTTTTCTTTTTTTATACTTTAACAAGATATTTAAAATAATTAAAAAAGTGTATTTTCAATAAAATTGTTTTACTATTAATTAATTTTGTCTTTATATTGGAGGTTATAACTAGTCACATATGCACTTTTGATGCCTAATTTAAGTAGTCTGCTTATATATTACTATATAAGTTCTACACTAGATGCCATATCTGCAAGCTAACTAAAAGTCTTGTTTATTTAAACTCTCTGTATTTGCAATTCTTTTTGTATCATAAAAACATTTTCAAGGCTACATCTATTTAAGTTCTCGATGCTGGTTAGTACTCTTAGGACTACTTTATCCTTGACAGGAAACTTACTAGAGCCTTTATATCTCACATATATTAACCTAGTTTTATGCAATATGTTATAGTTATCTAACACTTGTAGTTATAGAAGTTATCTGTTTAACTATTACATTATATTATTTTTACTCTTGTAAAGTTCACTAAAACCCTAATATTTGTCTTTCTGGCATCTTTTTCATCATCTTTTACTAGTCACAACTTAGAACTGACAGTCTCTTCCAAACTACCAATTCAGATGACCTAGTATAATATATTTTTATATCTTTTTTTTCTATTAAGTTTGGCAGCCTGGTTGGTTATATGCTCTTCTATACATATTTAATGTTTAATTTAACCTTCAGTTCCTATGAAGGTGTTTTATGAGTTTCAACTAGTTTGATAGTACTGTTAAAAGTTCATGTTATCTTTTTACTTAGAAATTTCCAAGTAGATTTCTGTTATCTTAGTTTTTTAGTCTATTATACCTAGTAGTCTTATTATAAGTTTGCACTAAAGTCTTATATAACATCAGTTATATATTCTTCTATGTACATGTAATATTACACTTTGCATAAACGCTTCAAGCTCCTAATGTCAGTAGGACCTGACTTGGTATATCTGGATTATAGCTGCATAAGGCCAACTAATCAATAGGAAACAGTTACTATAATATAGATATAATTTCCAAATTTCATCATAGGTAAAATTTGAACCTTAGACCTGCTACTTGAAGGATAACAATCCAACTACTACACTAGAATTGCCATCTTCATATTATTATTTTTTTTTACTAGAGCTTTGCTTATAGTTTTTAAATATTTAAGTAAATCTTAAAATTATTTAATTTAATTTAATATTTTATCAAATTTTAAAATAATTATTTTTTGGTTAAAATATAATTTATTTTAGATTAGAAAATATAATAATTATATTCTAAATAGTTAAACATAAATAAAATTTTGCAATAAGTTTAATTAATCAGATAAGTAACCAATTATAACTTAATATAAGATTTTTCTAATATTTAACTATACAAAATATAACTAATTTGTCTTTTGCTATCTATATAATATAAATTTTATATACTTATTTTAAAACAAACTCTTTATTTGATTTATTAATTTTGATATTTAAGATTAAATAGAAAAATACTTAATTATCTAAATTAAATAAATATATATTTAGTAAAAATAAGTATATAAAAAAAATCATATAGATAAGATTAACTAAAAGATATATATGATTTAACTTAAATTACAAATTAGTTTTTTTTTTAGTATTAATGTTTTTTTTAATTTATTATTGACTTTTTAAAACTAATTTTTAAAAATTATAATTTCAAGATAATGATAATACAATTTTATTTTAGTTTATAAGTATTAAGAATTTTATTAAATATTTAAAAAGTTATAAATACTTATTATTATTTTTTTTTTTTGGAGTTAAGGTGAGGTCATGCCTTAGGTCTGTTTATTCAAACATATTGTTACAGTTTGTACAACT